AGAAACAACATAAATAATTTCACTTTATTGCTTGAAAAATCCACAAAATGTTTTATATTTTTTGCAAGTTTCATGTTTATTGTATTAAAAAATGTTTATAATGAATCAAAACACTACAAAAATATAATTAGAAACTACAAATAATGTCAGTTTTACAATGAAAATACAAATAAATATTAATGACACTAAAAAGCGTTGTTGGAATAGAATTAATCTTATTTAAAAATATATTATTTTTGTTATTATACTTACAATAATACTATATATTTTAATAATACAATCACCTCTCTGCTCTCCAAATTATGAACCCAAGTGTTCTTGAACATTATGTGTAACGTCAAACCTTTTAGAGCAATGAGGATGAACTGCTGTCAAGCTTCATTCTTGACTTTAATTGACAGGATAACATTTACCTGCACAGGAAAATAACCCAATCACTCTCACACACACACACACACACACACACACACACACACACACGCACACGCACACACACACACACACACACAGACACAAAGATTAGTGAGACAAATAAATCCCCCATATGCTTAAAATAAATGCAGTCTCCAATTATGGCTCATTTTAAATATATATATATTTTTAAATCAGAATGCATTTCAGTGACTGAAGATGCAAGTTTTTTTATGTTCTGTTCTAGTGCGCATACATGCATAAAAAACATTAAATATTTATAATAAATAGCAATAACTTATTTACAAGTAATGTGTATATACTGTATAAGGATGCATGCACCGATATTGAATTATTGACCGATATGATAGCCAATATATTAGCAGGTATACAGTTGAAGTCAGAATTATTATCCACCCTTGCAATTTATCTATCTTTTTAAAATATTTCACAAATGATGTTTAACAGAGCAAGGAACTTTTCACAGTATGTCTGATAATATTTTTTTCTGGAGAAAGTCTTATTTGTTTTATTTTGGCTAGAATAAAAGCAGTTTTTCTTTAAAAAAAAAAAAACATTTTAAGGTCAATATTATTAGCCCCTTTAAGCTATATTTTTTCAATAGTCTACAGAACAAACCATCATTATACAATAACTTGCCTAAATACCCTATCCTGCCTAGTTAACCTAATTAACCTAGTTAAGCCTTTTAAGCTGAATACTAGTGTTTTGAAAAATATCTAATAAAATATAATGTACTGATAAAATCAATCAGTTATTAAAACTTATGTTTAGAAATATGTTGAAAAATGTGTTCTCTTTGTTAAAAAAACAGAAATTGGGGAAAAATAAACAGGGGGGGCTAATAATTCGCACTGCAACTATATATTTTTTGTTTTTATTATAATTATTTTTTCACTTCATGATTGCAAAAACAAAAGGCAAGTGCATAAAGTAAGCAACTGATTTCATTTTAAAACCTAAACTTCAGGGTTTTGTAACTGATTTCCGAACTTTGTTATTAGTTTTTATTTTATTAATATTAAAAACGATTATTTTCTATGGCCAACTTTCTTTTAAATACACAAATAATAAAAGTAATAATAATAATAACAATAATAAAAAGCAGCCACATTAACCAAAATATAGTAAAATAATACAAAAAAGGAGCATGCAAAGTGGTTCAACTCATACATTTCATACACAATTCATAATATACTAAATACTTAATATAATAACTTTATCAAACTGATAATAAGATTAATAATAGCATTTATCAGCTAATATCTCATGTATTCTTATATTACAATAAAATTAACAGCTTGATTGAAATTCTAAAATCGTTTTTAATAAATAAATAGAATCTTTTTTAGGAATGTGACAAAAATGTGATCAAATATGTAAAAAAGAAACAGTTTGCACCACTTCAAATGAAAGAAATAATCTAAATATGTATATTTTAATTACTATTAATTATATTTCATAATATAAAATAACAACAAATCATTAAAAATAAACTTCAACTGCCTTTAAAACTGAACTTGAATGTGTTTTATCTGCCCAGACGCAGGGTTTCCGTTACCCTCGACCATCCTCTGTTCCTCCGTCTCCGTCAGCCTCCATCCACTCCACCCCTCACCACAGCGATGAAGAGGATGACGACACCTATGATGAAGAGGAGGAGGCCGAGCGGGACAGACTGAACATCAAGGCCCCGTTCAGTGTGGGCGCAGACACCGACGGTAAGAGGACACAACCCGTGGAAAACGGCAATTAGCATCCATAAAGTTTGTGTTCAAAAGTCTGAGATCGCGTTCAGAATCTGGAGATAAACTAGACATTTAAAGCTTTCTTAATGGAAACCAAATCTTGTAAAGTCATTTGTGGCTATAATGAATGCGTCTGTTATGAAAAATGGTATAGTTTTTCATGAAACTTGTGGAATTAAACTCAAGTAGGGATAAACTGGAAGCTTTCAGTTGAGCTTTTCACTGGGATCAGAAGAAACATGTAATGTATTTTAATATTGCGTAAAATAAAAGGCAATATCAAAACCGTTTTTAGACGTTTTTATTATTCAATCAAATAAGAAATGACATTTTTCAGTCCTCAGAGCATGTTAAACAGCTTTTTATTATTATTATTATTATGTGTTTATTTTTCCCCAAGCAAAAATAATGACTATCATACATTTTTAATTACGGTATATAGAAGACACCCGCTAAAACGTCATTCAGTGTCACAACAGATTACCAAATATTAAAAGGTATGACTTATGTTTTAATAATATAGTCATTTACTTTTAGTTTTATCTGTCTGTCAATAAGTTCTTATCATTTACATTTTTAATGTTTGTGTAAATATATCTATCAGAGGGTTTCCCAAACTTTTCAACCCGCGACCCCCAAAATAACAATGACCCCCTCATTCATAGGAGGTGGTTATAAATATACAAATGTTGTGCACACATCAATATTGACAACACAAAAGAGTGCCACAGTCTAACAGCCATAGCATTTTTAAAGCCATTTATTTAATTTAATATTGACCTCACCTAAAGAGAATTTGTGGGTACAAGGTTTTCAGCACAAGGCTACTCTTGGTTTAATTTTGGAGGCCGCCACTCAGAGATCATCCTTAATGTTCAGTTGTGGCCTGTATTTATATTTAATCTATTTGATTACCATAAATGTGTCAGAAAGTTTAATCTGGTGCTATAAAATAAAACTTCTGCAGCTGACTGCGGTGTTGTTAATATAATGTAAACACACCAATCCTATGAAAATAAATATTAGAAGGCTAATGGCTTTTTGTTTTGCATGTTGTTGTTTTTTTATGTAACTATTAACTACTATTACTAAAATATGGTAATTCTAATAGTTTAATAAAATTGTTTTGACTTTTGGAAATCAAGCAACCCCACGTCATTGTCCCGCCACCCTCGCTTTGGGAAACACTGATCTATTACACACACTGAGAAGTCATTTTTACACATATTTTAACAGTTTATTTTAATTAAAGTAGATTAAATTTGAGTTCTGTCAATATAAATCATTTAGAAACGTAATAGTTGAAAAATATCTTTAACTAATACAAGCTGTATTAAACATTACATATTAATCAAAAATTGAAATAAACATTACTTATAAAGTCAGTTTTAAAATCAAAATGGTAAATGCTTTTATTCTAGAAATGTTTTTGATCACACTTTATTTTGATAGTCTGTTAGTTGAATTGCAACTAATTCTCATAAGATTGTAAGTATTATTACTGTTAGGTTGGGGTTGACTTGTATTTGTAAAGTTTCTTATAGTCAGTTAAATGTCTGTTGAAGAAGCAGTATCAACAGATATTAAACAGACTAATACTAATACTACTAATGCTTAAACGGAACATCAAAATAAAGTGTTACCATGTTTTCAATTTGTTTTGCAAATGAATCTTATTAAAATATATATTGATAAACAATATTTCCATTATTTAAGTTTAGCATAATTTTAAAAGTTTTGAAATCGTTAAATAATTAAATTTTAATTACTTTCCCAACACTGGATTGCAGCTGGAAGGGCATCCGCTGTGTAAAACATATGCTGGATAAGTTGGCGGTTCATTCCGCTGTAGTGACCCCTGATGAATAAAGGGACTCATTTTAATTAATGGTTATAATAATGTATTTACTGTCATACTTATTGTAGTAAATATATTACTGTAATAATTGATGTCATTTTATCAAATATTTTATAAAATAGAAAATTTTCAAGTGTATTTTTACAAATTAATTTGGTTAAAAATATCTTAATATTTGCCCCATTTCAAGTACAATTTAGAATGTTTTCAAATATTTAATAATTTTATTTGGATAATAGTACTAGTTATATGTATTTGTTCTAAATTATAAATATAAAATATATAAATTATATATTTTATTACAATATAGCATAATATGTGTAATAAAATAACATCTTAAAATAGTAAATGTTTATTAAAGGTATTCGATCATTAAGAGTAAATTGTTTTCGTGTTTATGTAAATATATCTGTTTCACTGAATGACAATAAACCTTTTAACCTGTACTTTGACATTTGCACATTTAATTTGATGCTAATACCAAAACTGTACGTTTCCTCTAAAGCTTACCACTATGTTTGGCATATACAGTAAGATCCATAAATATTGGGACATAGACACAACATTTTTGGCTGTAAACACCAACACAACGGATTTGAAATGACCGAAGATGTGCTTTAACTGCAGACTCTCAGCTTTAATTTGCAGCCTGTTGTCATTCCTACACCATTCACCTGACTTGGATGTCACTGACTTGGATTTAAATAGCTTAATTTAGCTCAAATTAAAGCTGACCGTCTGCAGTTAAAGCACGTCTTGTTCATTTCATTTCAAAGCCATTGTGTTGGTGTATAGAGCCAGAAATGTTAGAATTGTGTTAATATGCCAGTATTTATGGACCTGACTGTATGTGTGATATTAATTGCCAAAAGTATAACAAATAAAAACATCTTAATACATTTCTCCCAAATGAATCAAATAAATCATATGCATGTTTTACTGAATAGCCTCAGTCACAGTAGGTCAGTGCAAATTTAGTTTAATTGATAGAGAAAATGTTCAGACATTCTCAAATATGTATTTTACAGAGCATCAAGTGTCGATTTTTTAACATGAGAAACTCAAAAGGAAGAAAAACAGAAACTGTACAGTTCATTTATATTACACAGAATCGCACTCGCCGTAAATAATCTCTTTTCCAAGTTGATACGTCTTGAATAAAAACAACTCATTATATCAGCTGAAATGAATCCATAGGAAGCGAGAAATACCTCCCTATCAGTCTCTGCTGTATTCCTTAAATAATCAGTCCCGGTGGAATGAAACAAACACAAATAACGGCACATTAGAGAAGCTGAAAGCTGGCGGTGTTGAGCTGATGTTCTTCAGTACGGCTCGTCTTCATCTCTGGCCTGCTGGAGGATGTTCAGGAGAAACGCCGCTGCTTTAGAGATGCTCAGGTTTTCTGTGTTTTGACTGCGGGATTCTGTGGAGGAAGAGATGCCGTTTACTGCACCAGTCTCATTCGTGTTACCCTTTAAAGGAAAACTACACTGTTTCAGGGCTGGCAATAGGATGGAATAGGCTTCTCCATCTAGAGTTAAACATGAGTTTTACCATTTTTGAATAAATTCAGCCAATCTTCGGGTCTGGCGGGAGCACTGTTAGCTTAGCTTAGCATAGAACATTGAATCAGATTAGACCATTAGCATATCGCTCAACGTTTTTTGACCATATTCATACTTAAAGCTTGACTCTTCTGTAGTTACATCAAATTTATTGTACATACATTTGTCAACTTGTATATATTTTTGCTCTATTTACTTTTTTATTCCTATCACTGTCATTGCACTTTGGAAACTCCTGTCATGTAAAAATACATGGCAATAAAGCTCTTTCTGATTTCAGAAAATGAACAGTTGCTACATTCTGGAGTCAAGCTTCAAATAGGAAAATTATCTAAGCACTTTTTAAGCTTTTTTTTTTTTTTTTTGAGCGAGATGCTAATGGTCTAATCTGTTTCAATGATTTATGCTAAGCTAAGCTAAAAGTGCTCCCACCAGACCTGGTGATTGAATGAATGTATTCAAATATGGCAAAACTCAAATGTTTACCTATAGGGGAGTTGAAATATGAGCCTATTAGCAAAAAAGTGGAGCGTTCCTTTAATTTTAATGTGCATTTAGAGCACAGCTCAACCTAACATGAAAGTTCGGTCATCAACTACTCGTTACAAACCTGTTTGAGTTTCTTGTTATTAGTATTTTGAAGAATGTTAGAAAGCAGTAACAATTGACCATACATATATATTTTTCCAAATATGGAAGTCAATGGGTTCTTCAAAATATCTGCTTTTGATTTGAACAGAACTAAGGAACTCATAAAGGTTTGAAACCACTTGAGTGAGGTTTAATTTTGGGGTGAACTGTTCCTTTAAGTACTGATTAATATTCATTAATGTTAAACTTGATAAAGGGATAGGATTAGGGTCATTTACTAAAAATGTAGACTCTCAGTGTTAAAAAAAGACACTAAAGCTGTAAGAAGTATAAGTTCTGAAAACAAAACAAAAAAGAAAACTCAAATGATGATATTTACATGTTTTTATTCATACCTAAGCGTATTGTATCATACAGGTCCCCTTCATTTCTGTCTTCTGACACAAAGCGCCGTCCCTCTGTTATAGTATAAATATGAAAAGTACATTTTAAAATCAGAAGGTTGATCACAGTATATATTTTTAGACACAATAAGGATTTAAAAAATAAAAAGAAGCTGTAACATACGTGTGCCTTTCAGATATAACATAGCTTGGGGTGTCCAATTCCGACGCTGAAAACTGCCCTTTAAAAATAATGAAAAATGATTGCTTTATGGACAACATAATTAAATATTGTATTTTAAAATATTTGTAATAAAGATTGTTATATAATCAATATTATAAATTATTTAATGATAAACTTAAATATATATATATATATATATATATATATATATATATATATATATATATATATATAAATGACTAATAAAGTCAGTTATGTAATTATGCTTAAATGGACATCTAGATTTTTTTTCTGTCCATAAATATATAATTTTTTTTAAATGTATTTATAAAAAACTTATATTTGCAACATATCAAGTAGACATATCAGCATAATAAAATATTTCATTTTAAAAAATAGTAATGACTAGAGTAATTATGTTAACAGCAACAACAATAATAATAATTATTATTATTATTTTATTATAGTAAAAAATATTATTGTAATAACATTTGCAATGCATTTCATCAAATATTTTATAATACAAATAATGCATAATAGGCTATACCATAACATAATTTAAAATAAGACAAATGATGTACATAATAAACATTTACTATTTTCATTTTAATAACAGTAATCTATAATTAATAGTAAACTTAAACAATTTTTTAATATAAATAAATCCATATTTAATAGCATAACATTGCATGACATTACCTTGGGTGCGCTCCAGGAATGGGACACAAATGTTGCAAGAAGTAACAGCGCAAGTGCGTACGCCGCAAGAGTCCTTAAATCCTGCAAAGATGAAACTGTATTAAAATAACATCATTTTCCATCTGAAAAGTCATCTACTCTTTTTATTTAACATTATTAAGCCTCCTATTTTTTTCAATGTGAAATATATTGTGTGCAGAAGTATAAGTTCAAAAATATGAAACATCCTTATTGCAAAAAAAAAAGATAGTAATAATTGTAAATAATAATAAAGGTAACATTAAAATGGTAGAAGTTTAAATAAAGTTAGAAAATAATAAAAAAAAATATATATATATATATTTTTTTTACAAATAAATACAAATTAAAATAATAATAAAGAAATGTATTGGATTTTTTAAAAATAAAATACACAATTAATAAAACAATAAATTATAAAAAAAAATTCAATTTAAATGTAAATAAACAAATGTTAATAATTACATCTAAAAATTGTTACAAAAAATGAATAAAACAACAAATCTAATAGAAATCCTAATATTTAAAGTCTAAATTGCTAAAATAAAAATGTTGTGAAAGAAATGAGAAGCGTGATCTCACTTTCATAGCGGCAGGTTCCTCTTCAGCGCTGGAGTCTCAGAGAAAAAGATGCGGAGTGAAGCCTGTGAAGTCTGCGCTTGATATTTATAATCATCCGGCATGAATTAGTCTTCAGCTATAGGTCACGTCTCATTGATTGAGAACGGGGCCGGACTGTGAACCTTTCAGAGCCATTTGTTAACCCTTCCTACATCAGATCAGCGGCGTGGTTACATTTCCATTCATCTGCACTTTTAATAGTAAGTGATGAAAAGAAGAGGGCGGAAAGTATCGATATGTTTACACCTTCAGCAGCCAAGCGTCTCTGATAATGTTTTTTTATGAATGAACGGCGAGCGGGGTTTCCCTGCTGACAACACAGATTTATAAAGAAATGCTGAGCTCTGCCTTCAGATCGCTAGCTATAGTAATAAGAATGGATAAGAAGTAACTTTTAAAGCTGTTCAGACTCAGATTACAAACAAAGCAGAGTAAAGACTAGGCTGAGGACTGAGCAACAAAATCACTACTTAAAACTTTATGAATATGGCATGTCATTTTTATCCCCCACAACGTAATGTACTGATTAAATGTAAATTAGTCTTTAAAGTCTGCACGAACTAAAAGAAAATGTTTGTATTGAGATATTTATTTTAATAAAGTTATAGTAAATAAAAATATATAAATATAAGAAATATTTTATTTTAAATTTATTTCAAATTTTTTGTTATTAAAAATGATTAATTTTAATGGTAATCACAAAAAATATAACTTTTTAGAAATACAATAAATTATTAAATTAAATGACACATTTAAACATATGTTAAATATATAATACATATATACAGTTGAGGTCAGAATTATTAGCCTTCCTTGGCAATATTTATTCTTTTTATAAATTCTTAAATAAATTCTTTTTTTTTAAGTGATATTTAATGGAGAAGGGAATTTTTCCCCAGTATTTCCTATAATATTTTTTCTTCTGGAGAAAGTCTTATTTGCTGCAGAGCCACTTGGGTGGAGTTCATCTCCAATAAGGGGGAGCTTGAGCTCCAGCTCCTCCTCCTATAAGCTGTTTTAATGTGTACACCTACCCCGCCCCTAACCCCCAGTCACATCACTTGCAGAAGAAGTGCAGCACAAGAGCTGGAGCTCAGTTCTGCCCATGAGTCTCTGCAATGAGTACCACTTACTTATTTGTTTTATTTGGGCTAGAATAAAAGCAGTTTTTAATTATTTTTTTTTAACCAATGGACCCTTTTCACAAGCCTGTTATGACATGTTTAACGATTATCAGCAACTTAAAACCTTGACAGTTTTTAATATTTAGATTTATTTTTAAATGTGTGAACATTTATATGTATTTCTGTAGGTATTTTATCACCTTTGCTTCAAATTGCAAAAAAGAATTTTGCTTGTGCGAGGCATTTCTAATGCAGCATCTATGGCACAGGACATGACATTATTCTCTCCTCTGGCTGCCGCCATCAGTCTCTCACAATTTTTAAATCTTTTTTCTGAAAATCTTTAAAACATCATCGTGGAGTTTTTCTGTTATTATTTGAGCAAATAAGATTGTAAAAAAATATTTGTTGTACTCTCGCATTCACTGCGCTCTTAGTTTATCCAATTATGGCGACTTCCGCAACTGAGAAACCTGGAAATGTGAAAAGGGTCCATTAAGGTTATCATTATGACCTTCTTTTTGATTGTCTGCAGAACAAACCATCGTATTACAAGAACTTGCCTAATTCCCCAAACCTGCCAAGTTAGCCTAATTAACCTAGTTAAGCCTTTAAATGTAATTTTAAGCTGTATAGAAGTGTCTTGAAAAATATCTAGTCAAATATTATTTACTGTCATCATGGCAAAGATAAAATAAATCAGTTATTAGAAATGAGTTATTAAAACTATTATGTTTAGAAATGTGTGGAAAAATCTTTCTGTTAAACAGAAATTCAGGGGAAATATGCAGGGGGCTAATAAAAAAAAAAAAAAAAAAAAATATATATATATATATATATATATATATATATATATATATATATATATATATATATATATATATGTGTGTTTTTTTAAATATAATTACTATTGTTAATGTTGTATTTAAAAATAGTTTACAATTATTCATTTGTATACATGTACATATATAAATAATTATTGTAGGTTGACAGTGTGTGTGTGTATGTCATGTGTGCATATACATATAAACAAACATCAATAATAGTAATAACAGTATTTTTTTAAATATATATTTACAAAACTTTGTGGCAGCTCAATCATTTGCAAATCCCAGTTCAGGGATTTTTACAGTGACAAAGGTTGGACATAAACCATTAAAGACAGAGAAATAATATATAATAGTACCTTATGAATAAAATTAATAATATTAATAATAAAAACAATAACATCTCTGTATGCCAGCCTGATAATTAGTAACGTTTAATTTCACAAAAGAAAGTGTAACTATCACCTTTGCAGTTTCAGCAGGCGTGATGGGGAAAAAGGAGCAAAAAAAAAAAAAAGATGTAGTCAACCTCCAGCTTAAAACACAAGCCAGACAAGGCCGGTACTGTAACAGAAAGCAGACTTCCAGAAGTCTCTTCCACACATTCGACAGAGCGTTCCTCAAGAGCCAGCCGCAAACGTCTTCAGAAGGTCTGCGCTGGGGAAAACTCTTGAGGGATGTGTTTATGTTTTGGCTTGTTTTCCTCGCTGATGTAAATATCAGTCAGATGTCCTTGTGATGGAGACACGACTGAACAAAAGCCGTCATAAATAAGCAGTAAGAAAAGAGTCTGTTAAACCATGTTGTTGCTTTCGCTCATTTTGTCCACGTACTGAAGAAAAAGAGAGAAGAGTTGAAGAGTTACAAGACTTTCCCATAGAAAAAGACAAAAATGTCTGATTTATGACACTTTAGGCAAGACACTGCAGCTGAATACAGGACAAATGTCGACTAATAGTTATTTGAATGTTTCCTCTGTTGATAGATTGATTGCAAGCTTTCTAACCTGCTGTTTAAATATGCAAATGAAGCATTTTTTAATACAATTATGCAGTAATTTGCATACATTTTGCTGTACACAAAAATGATCAATGGTTGAGTTCAGGTTTAAAATTCTTGTTTGTTTTTTAAGTTAAATATTGTGCGTCAGGTATTTATGGAAACTTTTTTCACCGCTTAATTATTTGGAAAATACTGCAAAGCTGTCGGGAAAAACAGCTATTGTTTTGTATTAAAAAATATTGCATGTCATCAAGCATGTAAGCGCAAATCTCTCAGTAAAAACCTTGAGAATATAGATATTAACATGCTGCTGACGAGGAGAATTTGAGAAAAATATCTTGTAATTCAAATCTATAGAAACAAACTAATGAAGTGTGATTTCTAAAACAAACAAATAAACTATTAAAGTTATTTTCTTTCTGTTAGACTTAAAAAAGAAACATTATGAAATGACAAAAAGCCCAAAATGTTCAAACTAAGCAGTCTTAAAGCTGCAGTGTCTGGCCTTTAGTGTTTGGTGTTATTGGGTGAACAGAAGACGGCGTGATTCGTGCAAGACAGAATTAGCAGAGACTGACCAAGTTGGCCGACTGTCCGCTCAGCCTTAGGACGGCTTTAAAAGAACAACAAACACATGTTGAAAGACTCGCAAAAGCCTGTTTTCTGGCATGAAGGTGAAAACAGACACAAATCCTGCCCAACTGTGTTTTTAAATGCTTGTGTTAACAAAAACTGAATCATATGAAAAAGCCAGCTCATAGGCAGTACATACACAACCATTTAAATGTTTGGTCAAGTTTTGTAGAATCAATGTGATATGTTTATTTGGGGTTCATTAAATGTTTTGTATTTATTTCTGCAGTTAGTTGAGTGAAGTATGAATGATCATTTCAGAAAAATAACTTTTTGTCATTTATTTAAATAAAATGTCATTAAAAATTATTTTTAAAATGTCATTAAAATTTATAAATGCCATGACTGACATGTTGATCAATTGAAGAGAAACTTACTGAGTAAAAGTAACATAAAAAACGATTAAAATATAAACATTTAAACAGCAGTGCATGTTTTCCCCAGGTATTTCCTCTTAACTGTTTTAAAATGACAGTGTTTTACAAAACTTTGAACAAATTTTTTTCCCCCACCAAACATATAACCCAAGCCACAAAATATTATCTTGTAGCATTTCTTTAAAGGTATTCTCTTCTCTTCTCTTTGATTTGTAGTACATTTCGAGTGAAAGCCTGCTGGTTTTAGAGCTGCTCAAGCAAGCAAAAGCAAACGTGAATTTGCATTCAGACAGTGTCCTAACCAGACATGACTTAATGATTCAGATACTTCAGTAACGTGTCATGATTCAATATTTACACTAGTGCTGTGGACTAGAGCTGTTTTTTTTTTTTTATCTATTTCTGTAATAAAAAAACAGGTCACTAATAATGAATAAAATATCTAATGAAAGAAAATAAAATTAAAAATTAAAAACTTAAACCTGGAACTAAAACTTTAATGAATTAAAATCTACACAAACATGTATATTTTAAAATTAATGACAAAAGTAATAAATACAAAGACGATTAACTATAAAATTAATATAAATTTAACTGATTAATAAAAACTGCAACAGTATCTCAGTAATATAAAAAAAACACAGGAACAAACATAAACATATCCTGCAGCAATATTTTATTTATTCTTGCTCTCTGGCTGCTCATGTTTGTTATATAGGTGTTGTGTATCTTGTGGTTTTTACCTAAGCCATGCCTGATTAGGACATGAGTTAAATTCACTGCAATCTCAGAGGATCATTATTGAGAGAGAAAACCCAAAAGACCAGCATGCGCTCTCTCTCTCTCTCCTTTCTTCATCACCCTGTTTTAATTACTGTAAACTTACCCCGCTAATGAAGGGAAGATTGAGCAAATAGCCCAACACAGGAATCCTTCTGATGAAGCCCACCACCACTGGGAAAAAACCCCTACAAGTGAAGAAATGGAAGATTATTTTAGGATAGACTTCCATATCATGAGCTAATATGCAGGGTTTTTTGTATATTATTTGGAGATGTCAGTTCCAAAAACTACAAACCATATTAATAATGTTCAATTAAGTAAATTAAGTTCATTTTTTTTATTAAAAACAATCAAATATTTTAACATTATAATAATGAATTAATATAACATTAATATTTTAAAATAAAACAGTTATATTTTTAATTATATTACTGTAATTCTATTACTTATATTTCAGCTGTGGTTGATATAGGTGTGTGTGTGAACATTATTATTTTAGATATTTAGTACATTATTATATTGTAAATAGTAGGATGTTACAGAATTTATTAACATTAGTTTTAGTTTTTAGTTTTTCTCAAATACTATAATAAATATATTTATGTTCCGGCAAGAGTATTGACATATTACTTTTATTTTAGCTATGGATTATATTTGTTATACCTTATTAGAAAAAAATGTATGTTTGTTTAATACTATATATTGTGATTGTTTATGTGAACATCATTATTCTTGCATAAATTAGGTATATTCAATTTACTAGAATAGGTAGTATATATTATTAGTAGTATGTTATATATTTTATTATTATTAGTTTGTTTTTCCTCATATATTATTAGTGGATCATTTTTCTATATTCATTTACAGTCTGTCAGTGTAAGCATTGGCCAATTAAAGAGACAGTCACCCATTAACATCACTATTGAGAGTTTGTGTTGTTGCACAGTTTGTCTTGACACAGTTTGTCAATCCTGTGCAAATACCTAAATAAAAGAAAGAAGCCATAAAACTCTAGGACGACTCCGACGATGGGCCATCCTATCAGCACCACGAAGACGCCTCCCAAGAAGAAGCTGGTGGCTTTCATTTTGTGCTTCTGGAAGAAGAACCTGAAGGTCCTTTCCAACCCGATGACGAACGCCAGACCTACAACGAACAAGATCTGACAGACAAGAAGAGCGAAAACACAGGTCAGACACGGACAAACTCACTCTGGGTTATAAGGGAAACTCCGCTTTAACCTTTTAACCGTCCCACCAAGACAAAAAAAAAAGGATTGGATTTCTTATAATGTCGCTAGTTAATGGACTTTTTTCAACACATCCCATAATTTCTAACATATTAGCCTCTACTAAATGGTTAATATATCAGTTTATGGTAAAAGTACTGGAATTAATACATATACTATGAAAATCAGAAAATATAAAGTGCAAGACCAATTTATTTTAAAAAACAATCAAATTAAAACATTTTTTTCTTGTTTTTTCATACAATAAAACTAAAATCAAGTGTAGTAGTGTGACAGGATTGTTTATTGTTTTTGTAAACTAACAATGCTGTGTGTAAACCATTACTTAAAACACTCACTCTTTCAATGACTTCAACAGTCACTATTTGAAATAGACAAAACGAACTTGTAGAGCGGGCAGTTAAAGGGATAAGGCGAGAGAGAGAGCCACAATAAAGGATGACTAAAATATCAGTAAAAATCAATAATGAAAAACACTGTGTAGAATAGATGATCCAATTAACAACCTGTTCAAACCCAGACATTGTATTTTAAAATGTTGTTTATTTTTATTATATTACTCAATGAACATAATACATTTTTGCAATCAAAAGTTTTTACCATTATTTTACATTATACAGATATTACTGCATATTTTAAATGTAAAAATGGATGAAGAAAACAATAAGCAGAATACTAAATTAATTATTATGATCTTAATTTTGAATAATGTGTTATACTAAACACAGTATTTCATATGTAATTGAAATATTATAATTAAAACATCGTTAATAAAATCACCACTCACATTTCCTATGGCAAGTAGAGCTTTATCAAAAAACAGGATCATCCCAAAAAACAGGAAGAATACCCCAAATCCTGTCAGCCCCATTCCTATTTCTGTAGACAGAGAAAGCACCATCAATAATAACAACAGGTGACATTTAATAACACACGAACTTTAGACAATATTGCCAATGGTCATTTCTTTAAAATGTCCAATATCACATTGCTGAAACTGTATTGACAGCAGCTCTGTCTTCATGCAGTCAACATTTAATCCAGATCATGCATTGCATCTGTTTCCCGACATGTTATTAAACGCAAATGACTTTAGCGTGAGACTCGTTACTGTCGCTGACATCTGCACGCAGCTGCATCATTATAAACACACACACAACTATTCAAACAGCAGGAATAATAAACACGACAGCCTTCAGACATGATGACAGAGTCTGTAGAGGAGCTGTCAGAGAAACAGGACGAGTTTTACGGGGTTTTTTCCTCTTACTCTGCGAGTCGCTGAGCGAAATCATCTTCTCTGTCTCGAGCAGCAGCAGCTGTCACAGAAGCGGCCACGCGTACCGGAAACACTCACTTTCAGCTTCCGGTGAAACTTTACGAGAACGAAGTTTACAACTGATCGTATTACTCATTGATTTAGCTAATTTTATATTTGCGACGCATTACAATCACTTAATAATAATAAAAAAACGAATGCATGTTTAAGGGATTTAATTTGTGTTTGCATCCCCGGTCATGACGTGTTTAAATGAACGAAATAGTTTTATATTACATAGATACTTTAATTATTGACATTTGTTATAATTTAAAGTGTATCATGTTACATTATTTAATTAAATAAAAATATATAGATGTTCGCCATTATGTACACAAAAACGTTTACTTCCGTGTGCACTGCGTCATCTGCTGGTTATATTAATAATAACACGCATTTAAAATCAGACTAGTTTCGCTTGTGAAACTTTCTACGCTGTTTAAAACCTTTGACGGTTCTTTGTTATTATCGACAGTTAATATCAACAAATATTTTTATTTTCCAAAGTTGGCAGTTCATTCCGCTGTGCGACCACTGCTTAATAAAGGGACCAAGCTGAAAAGAAAATGAATGAAGTTTCCCATTAATTGTATTTTATTAACGTTTGCCCCCATCCCAACCGTCACAGTAACGTAAAAACAGTATTTGTACAGAGTATTATTTATGTTATATATTACCCAATAAAGGGTATTTAACGCGTACCCCCACCCTGTCACAGTACTGTAAACATTTCAATTGTTGTTACAAAAATGATGCTATATTGACGTGCGTATCCGCAGCTGAAACGTCATACTATCTAGATTTGTTATTAATGCAAGGACAATGCCAGATGTGTACAAAAATATGAAATGCATAATACAATTGTGTAGAAGTACAAAAACTCAATAGGTAAAACAAAATAAAACATTAAAAAAACTTATTACAAGTGCTAGGCATAGCTAACAATAACCCAAGTGTCACGGTTTCAACACCTATCTACACAGACCTTACCGTTCACTTTCGTGTGCCATGTATATAACACCACGCAAACAAGCCGCTTCTTAATGTTATTATTGACACTTCATATCAAGATCAACAAATACACATATTTTACTAAATATTTAGCATGAACCGTGGAAAAAAGCTTAATTTCATTATATATTTGTACATATGCTGAACACACATAAATAGATGAATACAATATTACGAAAAATAAGAAACAGTTGACAACTTAAAATCTTTATTTGCATATGCTCACTTTAATACACGTTAGCATTAAGAAGCTTTTGATTGAACACTTTAATTATTGGTCTTGAAAAACATTGTAATAGCAGTTTCTAATTTTCTTCAACAATTTGCACTGCAAACATGTCGCTCCTCAATAAATACAGAGAAACTGCATTGAAAGCTGGATTTGCTTTGACTGCTTCTTTAGATTATAAGTGGCCCTCAAAATATATTAAGGGATAATATTCCAACTTGTAACAGCAAATCAATCAGGTTTAAACATATCCCTTTAAGAAATAGAGAAAATATACTGTAATAAAAATGAAAAACGTCCATTTTTAAAACGATATGAGGCACTATTTGACACTAGGAATATACTGTGCATTTCTTCCTCGCACTTAACAATATGTAGGCCTACTATATATATGATCCACTCTCTTAAACATTGGCCATATAATGATTATCTGTGTTTTCATCAGGATGTGTCCCTCATTCTGGAGGTTTCTTCTTGGCTTCCACGTCCTTCTTAAAGGCCTCGATTTTCTTTGAAATGTTTGGTACCTGAAAACAAGGCATGGACACACCAATTTAATTAACGTACTGACACCACATTTAATGGCATTTACACATGTTTCTATACTAGATTAACTAGTTTGTTGCCCATTAATGTAGACAAACGTATACAATCACACGGTTATTAACTTAATATGAACAAATATGACATTTATAACCTCGTAGTTTTGAGCTAAATACATGCCAACCACGTTCCCCAGAGTGAAGCCAAGCTGGAAAAACACAAATGAGGCACAATTAGTCAAATACATAGTGAATATTACAAATGCCTACTTAAAAATCTAAGTTAATCGAAGACTTAAAACACTTTCGTTATCTACCAGACACTTGGTTATTCGCTAAGCTGATGTAGTGTGAATTAGCAAGCGGCTGGAAACAGGACTATAAACACACGAGCAGATGTCAATACTTACTATGAATTGCATCATGATTAAGGTTTAAAATGACGACAACAAACTGAATAAATAAGTGACAATGGTCCCGAATGCTCGACTGTTCCAGAGTTTGTCAATGCTAGCCGTCAACTAGCTTAGCTCCAGCATGACAACATCAACACAGCGGATGTAGTATTCTTGCAAAATAAAGGTCGTAGTGCGAGGCTCTGCAGCTGGACATTATTGGGGTTGATGGAGGAGACATAAGATAAAGTGGCAAAACCTTAAAAAAAACGGTTTCAGCGTATAATAAAATAAGCTGACCGAGAAAGAATGTTAGAATTAATGATTTCTCAAGATGTGCCTCATATTTTAAACATTTCCATTCTACCATAAATGGAGAAATGCGACAAACAGCTGATTATTGGCTCCCTCTTGTGGCCAATATGTGTATAAGTGTTGATAATGACAACAGAAAAGGTGAGATGGCCGGTTGCAGCAGATGATATGGTGATTGGTGGTTTTCAGTTGGAGAAACATCTCTTGTAAGTTCATTAAAGGATCCGGATCGGCCCACAACATAACTAATGTGGTAAAAACTGATCAAAGTTGTTGATGAACTCAATTACAAACTCAAATATCACCTTTAACAGGCTAAAAATGTCACCAGTCTGTCTGTTAAGTTGTTTGTGTTTACGAATGTAATGTATTGCTGGATGTAATCTCCTCTGTTGGCTCATTTAGGTTTTGTTTACATGCTGCTGCTTTATTGCTGAACTCTCTGTCAAGCCTTCAGAAGAACACATGGATCATGTTGCTAATAATCAAGGCTGATGTTTGTTCATAGAGTTAGTTTTAAGTGTGAATATGCAGTGTTTGCCTCACATGAAAACAGTGTAAACCATTAAAGATGGTTTATTAATGTCTGTCTTTGCTCTGCAGAATAAGGTATATGTTTGGAGCGACACATTCATCCAGCAGAAGCATGTGGACAGACATTGACTGTAATGATGCTCATCTGCTGATGGACAGGAGAGGTAAGACCTTGTGTTTGTGTTGTTCTTGTCATTTACTATCATTTCCTTTTTGAAGGGTCACTCCTCTAGAATGCAAATGATTTATACGTATATTTTTGTGGGTAGGACTCCAACGCTGGCTATTTTACTAATTGATTATAAGTCTTATTTTATCTTTAATGAGCATAAAAAAATATATTTAGAAGTCAAATATGGCTATAACCTTATATACATTTCCTTCTGGTTTAAGTTTTATATATATATATATATATATATATATATATATATATATATATATATATATATATATATATATATGTATGTATATATATATATATAATTTCTTTTTTTCTGATTCGTTTTCTTTCTTTTTTAACTGTATATTTTCTTTAATTTGTAACCTGCATATTGTATTTTTTTGCTGTGCTTCATCTAAAGTTTCAAAATTGTCGCAAATTTATATTGTTAACTGTGTTAGGGTCAATAAAAACGCAAATTTAACGCTGTAAACTTTTCATTTAGATCTGTCTTTCTTTAAATTTATTTGTGCAAAAACAATTGATAGGCAATGACCAAAACTTCTTCCAATGTACATCTTTAACAAATTAGCTATAAAAAAAAATTAAGAGACGACTTGAAAATGCTAATTTATTCTGGATGTGAAATGTAAAGGTTTGTTAAAAAAAAAAATCACAATTTTGATAAAATACACTGTTAACCTGCTGCAAGTTTTAACAGTTTAGAGTGAGAGAAATAGAAGATGATGTAAAATACAGTTGTTATTATGAGGGGAATGGCGTTCAGCAGGTTATGGAACTGGGGAAGGTGGCAGCATATGAAAAAAGGACATGGTGAAAGTGTTATTTAAGTATTTTTATCATTGTGTTTTTTTTATTTACTATTTTTACCATATTAGTGCTGCCCCTTTATTTTAATTTATATCATTTATCTGTATTTACTGGATTTATGATAGCAAAATTGAATTGCTGTAACTCCCACTGATGGGAAGAGGAGGGGAAAGGGGGTGTTAAAAGGATGTAGAAATGTGTAAACTGATGGTACTGTTAAATTATTGAAGAAAATAAAAATGTAATCAGTAAGAAAAAAAATGTAGAGTTATTTAGTCAAACTAATAGATCCTTGTCGATCAGAGCAACATTAACATCGGTATGACTTAATAATTAATGGTGAAAATAAAGGTTTACAGAAAAATTATAAGAGAGAAAAATAAATTACAGCTCGAGAGGCTTAAATCACTTTAAAGACAAATGTTTTCTAATTTATATTAATAAGATAAATGTTTTTATAAGTTTGATCCTCATTTTCCACACGCTTTTAGTATTTTAAGGCTTTTTGTTTTTTCTTTTGTTTAGGGTTAATGTTAATATCAATAATATTAAATGTTTATATTATAATAAAAAAATTATAATAATTCACAATTTAAATGTGTATATAAATAATAATAACAATATAAAGTCTTCCTGAGAAATGATTTATTTTTTCAAACATCTCTCAAGTGATGTTTAACAGAGCAAGGAAATGTTTCACAATATTTCCCATTTTATATTTTAGATCTTTTTTTTTGTTTTTGGTTTGGTTGGAATAAAAGCTATTTATTTTTTGTATCAATATTTTTAAGGTCAATATTATTAGCCCCCTTAAGAAATATTGTTTACTGATTGGCTACAGAACAAACCACTGTTAACCTGTGCCTGGTTACCCTAGTTAAGTGTATAAATGCACTTTAAGCTTAGTACGAGGATTTTGCTAAATAGCTAGTATAATATTATTCTGTCATCATGACAGACTAAATAAATTATTTATTAGAAATTAAAACTTGTTTAAAAATGTTTTGAAAAAAAAACAATCTACTCTCCGTTAAACAGCATTTGGGAAATATTTGAAAAAAGAACTGACATTTTACAAGAGGGCAAATAATTTACCTTTAACTGTATGTATATACTGTATGTATTGGGGTCAACAAGTATGGTTAATATAATATATTGTCCTTATATTATATTAAACCTACTTGTTGATCTTTTTTTTTTTTTAAATACAACATTGTTTGACTTATTTTTCTCTTCCAGTAGCAGGTTTAACTGAATCTTTCTCTGTGTCTCTGATGAGGAGGATGTGAAGCTCAGGACTGGTCATCATATTAACACATCAATCTACAGACAAACATCACATTTAATAAAAATTTAATGAAGAAAGCCTGATCAATGTGTCAATGTTGTGCCCACTTGTGGAGGATTTGTGCATCTGCATGAAAACAGCAAGAGGACAGGAAATGAAGAGTGTGTAATCCTGCAGCTGTAGAGCAGTTTAAGCCTCATTAAAAACACCTGAAGCTGCTAATCAAGCTCAACAGCACTGATAGAAATCTCCTGACTCAACTCTTTTCTTTTATTCCAGCAGAAATTAAGATTAAAAAAGTGATGTCTAAGTTATGTATTTTCAATCAATTAAAGGCTGAAATGAATTAAGTTTTTGTGATTGTTTGCACATTTCAAACATATTTCAGTTTCATGAATGCTGAAATTGAATTAATTAAAAAAATATTTGAGGAACGATGCCTATCCCACTCCTGCAGACATTTTCTATCAATTAAACAAAACCTCTCAACACAACTGTCCAAAGCACATTTCCACAGCTCAGGCTCAGGTGATAAGGTGTTGTGAGCTCATATTTCACCACTGTTTACATTAAAACAATCAAATGATGATTTACCCAAGATAAATTCATAAAGGCACTAGTGGCCTTAAACATCTGAAGAGGTGGATTCAAATCCCTTGAGTGCAAAGGTTGTTTGATCAAACACAGCTGCCTCAGTATTTCCTTTATTGGTTCATTTGCTCATTAACTAAATTCAAGCCCCACAAATCTTGTTAATTCCAGAGCATAAAAAAACTAAATACTCAATGATCTAACTCCCATAAAAACACAAATAAAGTTTCTCAGACTCAGAGGCTTTGCTGATCAAAGTTTTCAGAGTCCTGAGGTCAAATCCAATGATTGCTGATTTCAATTTGAAAATCCTTTATGACATAATTGAACACACACAATTACAAATGAAGGTCATCAAGAGTGAGGTTTTGAACCCGGGTCTCCAAGATTACAGGACGGTACTTTAATAAGCTGAGCCACAGAGTCTGAGAAGAGCATAGCTGCTGTAAATTGGCTTTTATTGAGCATTTTCTAAAATACTTGTGCACAACATCATCAATAAACACAAATGCAACAAAGCACCCCATGAGACTTTTGTTTCAGTAGCTCAATTGACTAAACCTGTGTGCTTTTATCAGGGAGACCCGGGTTCGAATCCTGCTACTGATGATCTTAACTTAATCTCTAATTGAGTCAAATCCCACTTATGCCAAAATCAGTGCAAAATGTTTTGTACTGATAAAATGCAAAGGATGTCAATGTCACCCAGTCAAAAACACATTTCAACTTAATCGGCTTAGTGGCTCAGTTGATTTAAACCTTGCGTTTTAATCTTGAGGTTATGGGTTCAACTCCCGCTTATGCCAAATTCAGTGCAAAATGTTTTTTTTTACTGATAAACAGCAAAAGATCTCATTATCACCCTGTCAAAATCCTGCTTTAACCTGTCCGGCTTAGTGGCTCAACTTATTAAAATTGTGTGTATTAATCTTGAGGTTGTGGGTTCAAATCTCACTTATGCCATAATCAGTGCAAAATGTTTTTCTAATCGATAAAATACAAAAGATCCCATTATCACCCTGTCAAAGTCCTAATTTATCTTGTCAGGCTCAGTGGCTCAATTAATAAACACTTTGAGTTTTACCTTTGAAGTTGTGGGTTCAAATCTCGCTCATGCCAAAATCAGTACAAAATGCTTTTTTTTACAGATAAATAGCAAAACATATCATTATTACCCTGTCAAAAACTCTTTTCAGCTTGTGGGGCTCAGTGGCTCAATTGATAAAAACTTTGTGTTTAAAACTTGGGATTGTGGGTTTGAATCCCGCTTATGCTAAAATCAGTGTGAAAAATTTTTTTTCACTGATAAAATGCAAAAGATCTCAGTGTGACCCTGTCAAATACACTCTCTAGCTTGTCTGGCTCAGTGGCTCAATTGATTATGCCTTTGAGTTTCAATCTTAAGGTTGTGGGTTCAAATCCCATTTAAGCCAAAAGCAGTGCAAGATCGTTTTTACTGATAAACTGCAAAAGATCTCTGTTATTTTTACGAAAACATAGTTCTGCTTGTCTGACTCTGTGGCTCAATAAATAAAAACGATGTGTTTTAACATTGAAGTTCTGGGTTCAAACCCTGCTTAAGGCACACTGAGCTTAAAATTTTTTATCAGTAACAGAATAAACAACAATACATAGTATACAACACACACCACAACACAAGCCGCAGTGGTGTAGTGGTTAATAGCATTGACTAAAGAATTTGATCCAAAAAATGTGGGTTCGAATCCCAGCTCTTCTCTTTTTTCAGAATTAAGCACGAAACACTCTTTATATCCACCCGAAAACCACATTTCACCTGACTAGCTCAGTGGCTCAGTCGATAAAGTGTTAGCCTTTAATCTTGGAGTCCTGGGTTCGAATCTCACTATTACTTATTGTTGTGGATAGATCCAACAAAGTGTGCCAAACACCCCATCTCAGCGTGAAAGCCACGATGGCACTACTGGCTAAACACCGTTGGTTGCGGACAAGGTTACGGATGTGGCATGGGTTCGAATCCCACCTAAGTACATACCTGGGGCGGTAAAACGAATAAGAGGGCAAGTACCTGAGGCTCAAGGGTAAATGAGCACAATGTGAAACACGGACCAGAGTACAATGTGAAACACGGACCAGAGCACAAACATGACTTGGCTGGCAATGCAAATGAGAGTGGAGGACAAACCTGGGGCGGTAAAACAGAGACCGAGTGAGGTAGGCCGGACTAAGACAAAGTGAAGGCGGACTAGAGAGGTGCAGCGGAGAAGTGAGGCGGACCTGGGAGGAGAGAGAGGCAGAGCAGAAAGAGGAGGGGGAAAAAGTTTTTTTATTTTAAAAAAATCTTTTTTTTTTGGAAAAAATTCCAACAGTTTGCAACACCGTGGTGATTCGAACCCCGGTCTCCTGTGATCAGTTTAGCTCTCACACCATGAGCACTGACCACTAGGCCACGAGGATCTCACACAAACATTAGTTCAATTGGTATATTTATAGAAAACGTGAAATCACGTATTTTGAAAAAAAAAAAAAAAAGAAAAACATTAATTACAAATTTTTCACTATTAAAAGTTCTTATCTCTAATATAAGGCAGAATAAACAGAGAATAGTGAAATAAATCCTATATTGCACACTATAAAGGGTCAAATCAATGCTGGGTAAAGAAAAAAACTGCATAAATGAAGTTAGACTATATTTATAAACATTTTAAAATTATAGAAACCCTATTAAAATCACCCCAAAACATTACTTTACAAAACAAAATATAATGCAACAATAAGACAGACAGGATGAATGCTAGAACTGATCACTCAGTGGACGCTGCAGCTTCTGTTCATGGTCCACAGCTATTTTAAAACAAAATTGAGGGTAAAACAACATTTTCACTATTTATCTGACAGTAAACAATGTAGGACTTTGATAGTCATTAGCTGCTAGTTTCACTATTTAAATGTGCAAGGATTGCAAAGTTGGTGTGTATGTAAAAACTAGTTTACCTCAATCAGGTGACAAGGTGTCTAATATCACAAAGCTCATAAAGGTGTCATAAAGAAGCAGAAGCATCAGAGATTCAGACATCTTTTAACTCAGAAAATAAGCTTATTCAATGTCTACACCACACTAAAACACCAGCAGAGAAAAACACAACTGCTTATTGAGTGTACCTAAGCTTTAGAAGAATCACCATCCTGAATTCACATAACAAGGTTCTCATCAAGAACAACATGTAAACAAAGTACGTTTTAAACCGTCGTAAAATGCAATATAATGAGCGCTAACGAGTTTAAAAGAGAAACGGAGTAATTGTGTGAAGTTACTTACAGGTGAGTCGCGTGACATCCTTGATGCTTGACAACAGCGTGTCGTTTGTGCTGCTGAGCTGAAATACATGTTGTTGAGTGACAGTCTGTAACTGAGCTGTCATCTGCAGTAACTGTAATTTAATGGCCTTAAAGCATAAATAATCAGTCGTGTCGAGGCGGCTGTCATCAGTGTCTTGTTGTTGATGAGGCTCTAAAGGTGTCACAGTCACGCTGAACGTCAAAGCCGCAGACGCCGCCTAGTGGAGCGGAAGTGAATCAGTGTCAGTAGTTTTAATGCATGAAAACAAACTAGAAGTGTGTCGTTGGAGACGGGATGCGTTTTTAGTTTTATATATATTAAATCACGTCTGTGATCTTCTTTAAATGGTCTCAAGCAGCAGATAAACATGGCATCTAACGGATGATCAGCTTCTCAACTGAAAGGGTAACGTTAAGAGAAAAATAATGAAATGTCCAATGTGTTGAACTGCAGTAGGCATATAGCACATGGCCGAAATGTAAACACAAACAGTAGAAGAGACAAGAGGTCTTGCAGTACTATTTTACTATTTGTTTGTGCTTCAAATATAACATTTTTGAGTTATGTTTTTTATTTAAGTTCAGAATCAATAATTTATTTCATGTTCTGATATTTGCACACTTGTAAAGTCTATTTTTAAACAACTCATTTTCCAGCTCCTCCTTGTGGACATGAAGCATATCTTACAGAACTGAACCACACACAGGGAAAATGACTCTTACTGACTAACGTAGATTGCATGGAGAAATGCTGCATTACTGATTATTTTTCTGTTTGCAGCATGATTCTGTCATCCATCAGTGCTGCAAGTTTCTCTTATGAAGTGATGTTTAAATTAATATATTTTTATTATAAACACATTTTTTAACATTAAACAATTTTTTTTTTTTTTGCTGACTTATTGCAAAAGTTAATTGAGCACTTTTAACAGCAGGGCATTAGGTTGTCTAAATGTTGCATTCCTTTATTATTTCTCAGTTTCCATCAAGTTCATCCATCAGTGCCGCAAGTTTCTCTTAAGAAGAAGAGTTTAAATTAATAAAAGTTTTGTTATAAACATTTTTTTTTATTGGCAGCTGTTGCTTATAATTGTTTTCATCATTTTAAGTTAGATGACTTATTGCAAAAGTGAATATTTGAGCACTTTTAACAGCAGACAGCAGCAGAAAGGCAGTGAGTTGTCTAAATGTTGCAGTGTTCATGGTAATCAAGTGTGCATCTCTGTTCATTATGCAGATACTAATATTTTCTTTCTGCTTACAAGCAGATTTCTGCAATATTTTAAACAGTTCAAAGCTTTGTTAAGACTGGTAAATTTCTATTTTAATGGCATTCAAAATAAAAATCCTCAAATTTTTCCATGTACTTGAAATGTCCAGATTTCCATGTACTTGAAAAAAGTCCAGCTTGAAATGCAACTGGTTGCTCTTGCTCTGATTATACTGCCTCTTGTGCATGCAGCTTCAGTAAAACAGCAGAATTTAATGTTAATTAGCTACACAACTCGGAATGCTTATTTCAGATGCTAATCGACAGTAAGAATTTTGCCGGATTAACATTCAGTTAAACCATTTCAAAAGTTGGCAAATTTAAGTGGTTTTAATGTTAATATTATTTTCAATTGTTTTTAAAAAGGTTGATCCATTGCATAAAAAGATCCCTACTGCACATTTCAGTCAAGATGCACATAGAAAACATTGTCAATTAAATTAAGTAAATGCTAAAGATCAATGTGCAGTTAATTATAATCTAGGCCTATATGTGCTGTTATTGTGTCTAATTTAAAGACCTATTACTGTAGACCTAGACTTGACAGACATGTAACTTTGACAATATGTTTAAACATAGGCCTTTTACTTTTTTAATGAAATTTTTCAGAATGAGTTGTATACATAGCAATGAGAAGAACAGAAACAGTTTGTTTAAGGGAATAAAGAAAGAAGTAATACAAAATAAATAAATAAAATGATTAAAAAAAACAGCAGTGTGGTCTAATTCAAAACAGTATTACAATATCGTAGTGTGCACAGTTAAGAATAAATAGTAGACTTATAATCAATACCAAGACAGGTCAAAGGGATTTCCCAAAGCTTCTGAAATGACTTAGATTTACCTTTTAATATATGTCCAATATTTTCCATAATTATGGTTTCTTTAATCAGGATCATCTGTGGGTCGGGTTCTGTCCAAACCCACTATTCATAATTAATCCAAAGGACATTCCCAAAGCCAATGAAAGAATGTGCCAATTCTATTGTTGCATTTTGGACATCGAGGTGAAATAGTGTTGTTTATTTTACTATATTTATTTGGGCATATATAAGCTCTAAAACATAGGCCTATTTTAAATGATCTATCATGCTTCAGCTCTCATCTAATGTTATCCAGCCACGTGAGATGAGAGGAAATGAAACAAACAAATGTTATTTATTTAATCTCATTTTATTTTATCTCACTATCGTGCTCAGCACAAATTAATACACCCTATTTTGAAAATTAATATTTTTATAATTTTTTTGCGGATATAGGCAATATATTTTGAACAAAACAGATTTTGGGTAAAACATTTAAATTCATGCCATATATATATATATATATATATATATATATATATATATATATATATATATATATATATCAGAGGTCGCGTTAACCGAATATTTTCCCTCATTGACAGATTTGCTTCAGCAGTGACAGAAAAATCTGAAAGTGATCTGTCATTTTGACGGATTATGCTGAGCTATTGTAATTTGTAGCTAACTGTAATTCCCAATCCTGTCCAGCTGATGGCGATTGCCCTTCTTTTGTCTCCTTTTTGTCACTGCGTGCGTACAGTTGCAAAAATGTCACAGCAGCTGCGTGTGAGAAGTTTCTGTAAATGGCCAAATAGTTGTAATATAGGTGATAAGGGGGAAAAGAGGAATTGATGCAGTGGACGATGAAGAACAAACAGACAAAAATCCTCAGCTGCCGACAGCTGCTACGGGCAAATTAAGTGGCAGCAAGTAAGTCAGGTGCTTTGGAGTGCGTTGTGAGCACTACCGAACGCAGAGGGGTGCAGCCGTTCCCCTGGTGCAGAAGGAGCACGCGCTGCAGTATTTATTCCCGGTGAAACGAGTGCTTGCAGGATCGGGAAATCCCACATTCAGAGAATCCAGGAAACTTCTGATTACTACCTTAGAAGAAATGTTTCCTAACTACAAAGCGCTGGCTGAAGTGGCGATAGTAATTCCGGTCTCCAGTGTGGCAGCAAAACGCGGCTTCAGCCTCCAGAACAAAATTAAAACTGTCACGAGAAGTCGACTTTCCTGAGGCAAAGACAAAGAATTTAATGACAATTGCCTCTGCATCAGTCTCCATTTATGCGTTTGATTACGCACAGGCAAGCACCCAGTTCAGGTCGATGCAGGAGGAAGATATGAGTTAAGGCAGATATAAGTTTTTGTTAATTTGTCAAATAAATAGATGAATAATTTAGCCTATAAGCTCGTCATGCAAGTTCATTATTACAAAATTAATGAAAAAAGCTATTAGAAAAAATACAAATTAAATGACGGTCAATAATAGGTTATGATGGAATTTTTACAACCCTCTCCATCAAAATGACGGACAATAAGAAAGAGTATATGTATATATGTATATGTATATATATATGTATATGTGTATATATATATATATATATATATATATATATATATATATATATATATATATATATATATATATATATATGTGTGTGTGTATGTGTTTGTTTGTTTATTATTTCTTTTTTTAAATTCTATTTAATAATTTCCCCTAACATACAAATTTGGGCTACTAATTTTTTGACTGTTATCACAACTTATTTTGTTAGATTAGCTCGATATTTGGCTTAATTGTTGTCTAATCTACTGGATATACACAAATATAATATTGTAAAGCATCTTAAAAAATATCAATTGAAAAGAGAGGATTGTGAGGGTGTGCTCATAGTAACTGTTCCTGTGCTGTTTTGGTAAAAAAAATCTCTTTTAGAATTGATCAAATGTGATGTGATTTTAAATTAAATCACAATTACTGATGAACACAATCTGAATAAACTAACATTTCACACTCACAATATGCCATGGGTATTATTGCATAGGTTAAAGACATGAACTTCTGTCCTGAAATTCTCCTTTGTCTTAATGCACTTCTAAATTTTCCTGTGGTAAAACTGAAAAAGGCTTGTAGATGAACTCAATGACAAGTTCAGTGTAAACATGCATAAACAACAAGTTATCAGTCTGTCTGGCGTATAAGCTGATAAGTTTATTTTGTTTGTACGTATTGATGCATAATTCTGATGTAGATCTCCTCTGTCGGCTCATTTAGACTGTATTAATGCTGCTTTATTGCTGAACTCACTGTCAGACCTTCAGACGAACATGTGAATCAGTTATTGTGACTGTAGTTTTACTGTATTTAATAATCTAGGCCTGATGTTTGTCATTTGCTTTTCATGAAAACCATCAAATATAAAAAGATATTCACTGCTTAATGTCTGTCTTTGCTCTACAGAGTAAAGGATGTGTTTGGAGCATCACACACATCCAGCAGAGGCATGTGGACAGACATCGACTATGATGATGCTCATCTGCTGAAGGACAGGTCAGACTTCTTCTCACTGGGCCTTTTTCACATATGTGGTACAGTGACTGTTGTGTATCATGTGTATTGTTTGACATATTTTTCTCTTCCAGTAGCAGGTTCGAGTGAATCTTTCTCTGTGTCTCTGATGAGGAGGATGTGAAGCTCAGGACTGGTCATCATATCAACACATCAATCTACAGACAAACATCACATTTAATAAAGATTTAATGAAGAAAGCCTGATCAATGTGTCAATGTTGTGCCCACTTGTGGAGGATTTGTGCATCTGCATGAAAACAGCAAGAGGACAGGAAATGAAGAGTGTGTAATCCTGCAGCTGTAGAGCAGTTTAAGCCTCATTAAAAACACCTGAAGCTGCTAATCAAGCTCATCAGCACTGATAGAAATCTCCTGACTCAACTCTTTTCTTTTATTCCAGCAGAAATTAAGATTAAAAAAGTGATGTCTAAGTTCTGTATTTTCAATCAATTACAGGCTGAAATGAATTAAGTTTTTGTGATTGTTTGCACATTTCAAACATATTTCAGTTTCATGAATGCTGAAATTGAATTAATTAATTAAAAAATATTTGAGGAACGATGCATATCCCACTCTTGCAGACATTTTCTATCAATAAACAAAACCTCTCAACACAACTGTCCAAAGCACATTTCCACAGCTCAGGCTCAGGTGATAAAAGTGTTGTGAGCTCATATTTCACCACTGTTTACATTAAAACAATCAAATGATGATTTACCCAAGATAAATTCATAAAGGCACTAGTGGCCTTAAACATCTGAAGAGGTGGATTTAAGCCCCACAAATCTTGTGTTAATTCCAGATCATAAAAAACTAAATACTCAATGATCTAACTCCCATCCAAAACACAAATAAAGTTTCTCAGACTCGGCAGCTTGGCTGATCAAACAAAGTTTTCAGAGTCCTGAGGTCAAATCCAATGACTGCTGATTTCAATTTGAAAATCCTTTATGCAATAATTGAACACACACAATTACAAATGAAGGTCATCAAGAGCGAGGTTTGAACCCGGGTCTCCAAGATTACAGGACGGTACTTTAATAAGCTGAGCCACAGAGTCTGAGAAGAGCATAGCTGCTGTAAATTGGCTTTTATTGAGCATTTTCTAAAATACTTGTGCACAACATCATCAATAAACACAAATGCAACAAAGCACCCCATGAGACTTTTGTTTCAGTAGCTCAATTGACTAAACCTGTGTGCTTTTATCTGGGAGACCCGGGTTCGAATCCTGCTACTGATGATCTTAACAATTGAGTCGAATCCCACTTATGCCAAAATCAGTGCAAAAAGTTTTGTACTGATAAAATGCAAAGGATGTCAATGTCACCCAGTCAAAAACACATTTCAACTTAACCGGCTTAGTGGCTCAGTTGATTAATAATTTGTGTTTTAATCTTGAGGTTGTGGGTTCAAATCCTACTCATGCCAAAGTCAGTCCAAAATGTTTTTTTATTACTGATAAACTGCAAAAGAGCTCATTATCACCCTGTTAAAATCCTGTTTTAACTTGTCCGGCTTAGTGGCTCAACTGATTAAAACTCTGCGTTATATTCTTGGGGTTGTGGGTTCAAATCTCACTTATGCCATAATCAGTGCAAAATGTTTTGTATTGATAAAATGCAAAGCACATCAATGTGACACTGTCAAAAACACAGTTCAACTTGTCTGGCTTAGTGGCCTAGTTGATTTAAACTTTGTGTTTTAATCTTGAGGTTGTGGGTTCAAATCCTGCTTTTGCCAAAATCAGCGCAAAATGCTTTTTCTAATTGATAAAATGAAAAAGATCCCATTATCACTCTGTCAAAATTTTGATTTAACTTGTCAGGCTCAGTGGCTCAATTGGTTAAAACTTTGTGTTTTACCTTTGACGTTGTGGGTTCAAATCTCGTTTATGCCAAAATCAGTGCAAAATGCTTTTTTTACCGATAAATCGCAAAAAATATAATTGTCACCCTGTCAAAAACTCTTTGCACCTTGTGGGGCTCAGTGGCTCAATTGATTAAAACTTTGTGTTTTAATCTTGAGTTAGTGGGTTCGAATCCCGCTTATGCTAAAATCATTGTGAAATGCTTTTTTTTTTACTGATAAAATGCAAAAGATCTCAGTGTCACCCTGTCTAAAACATTCTCTAGCTTGTCTGGCCCAGTGGCTCAATTGATTAAGCATTTGCGTTTTAAGCTTAAGGTTGTGGGTTCAAATCCCACTTAAACCAAACGCAGTGCAAGATCTTTTTTACTGATAAACTGCAAAAGATCTGTTATTTTATCGAAAACCACTTCTGCTTTTCAGGCTCAGTGGCTCAATAGATAAGAACAATGTGTTTTAACATTGAAGTTCTGGGTTCAAACCCTGCTTAGGACACTCAGAGTTAATACTTTTCATTAGTAACAGAATAAACAACAATTCATAGTATACACAACACACAACACAAGGTGTAGTGGTTAAAAGCATTGGCTAAAGTGTCTGATGCAGTAAAAATGTGGGTTCGAATCCCAGCTCTTCTCTTTTATTTCAGAATTAGGCACGAAACACTCTTTATATTCTAGCCGGAAACCATGCCTTACCTGTCTATCTCAGTGGCTCATTGATAAAGCGTTAGACTTTTATCTTGGAGTCCTGGGTTCAAATCTCACTATTGCTTATTGTTGTGGATAGATCAAACAAAGTGTGCCAAACACCTCCTCTCAGCGTGAAAGCCACGATGGCACTACTGGCTAAACACCGTTGGTTGCGGACAAGGTTACGGATGCAGCATGGGTTCGAAACCCACCTAAGAACATACCTGGGGCGGTAAGACGAATAAGAGGGCAAGTAACTGAGGCTCAAGAGTAAATGAGCACAATGTGAAACACGGACCAGAGTACAATGTGAAACACGGACCAGAGCACAAACATGACTTGCGCGGTAAAGCAAATGGCAGCGGATAACAAACCTGGGGCGGTAAAACAGAGATGAGTGAGGTAGGCCGGACTAAGATAAGGTGAAGGCGGGTCAGAAAGATGGCGTGGAGAAGTGAGGTGGATTGGGGAGGAGAGAGAGGTGGAAGAGGAGGAGAAAAAACTTTTTTTTTTTCAAAAAATCTTTTTTTTTTTGGAAAAAATTCCAACAGTTTGCAACACCGTGGTGATTCGAACCCCGGTCTCCTGTGATCAGTCAAGCTCTCACACCATGAGCACTGACCACTAGGCCACGAGGATCTCACACAAACAACTGTTCGTTTGTTATATTTATAGAAAACGTGAAATCACGTTATTTGAAAAAAAAAAAAGAAAGAAACCACATATTGGTTAAAATTTTCACTTTTAAAAGTTCTTATCTCTAATATAAGGCCGAATAAACAGAGAATAGTGAAATAAATCATATATCGCACATTATAAAGGGTCAAATCAATTCTGGGTAAGGAAAAAATGCTTAATTTAAGTTAGACTATATTTATAAACATATTTAAAAATTATAGAAACCCTATTAAAATCACCCCAAAACATTACTTTACAAAACAAAATATAATGCAACAATAAGACAGACAGGATAAATGCTAGAACTGATCACTCAGTGGATGCTTCTGCTTCTGTTTATGGTCCACAGCCATTTTATTATTTATATTTTCATTTATTAAATGAAATTGAGGGTAAAACAACATTTTCACTATTTATCTGACAGTAAACAATGTAGGACTTTAATAGTCATTAGCTGCTAGTTTCACTATTTAAATGTGCAAGGATTGCAAAGTTGGTGTGTATGTAAAAACAATTTTACCTCAATCAGGTGACAAGGTGTCTAATATCACAAAGCTCATAAAGGTGTCATAAAGAAGCAGAAGCATCAGAGATTCAGACATCTTTTAACTCAGAAAATAAGCTTATTCAATGTCTACACCACACTAAAACACCAGCAGAGAAAAACACAACTGCTTATTGAGTGTACCTAAGCTTTAGAAGAATCACCATCCTGAATTCACATAACAAGGTTCTCATCAAGAACAACATGTAAACAAAGTACGTTTTAAACCGTCGTAAAATGCAATATAATGAGCGCTAACGAGTTTAAAAGAGAAACGGAGTAATTGTGTGAAGTTACTTACAGGTGAGTCGCGTGACATCCTTGATGCTTGACAACAGCGTGTCGTTTGTGCTGCTGAGCTGAAATACATGTTGTTGAGTGACAGTCTGTAACTGAGCTGTCATCTGCAGTAACTGTAATTTAATGGCCTTAAAGCATAAATAATCAGTCGTGTCGAGGCGGCTGTCATCAGTGTCATGTTGTTGATGAGGCTCTAAAGGTGTCACAGTCACGCTGAACGTCAAAGCCGCAGACGCCGCCTAGTGGAGCGGAAGTGAATCAGTGTCAGTAGTTTTAATGCATGAAAACAAACTAGAAGTGTGTCGTTGGAGACGGGATGCGTTTTAAGTTGTATATATTATAAATTACGTCTGTGATCTTCCTTAAATTGTCTCAAACAGCAGATAAGAATTTAACCTAACGGATGATCAGCTTCTCAACAGAAGGGGTAAGAGAAAAATAATGAAATGTCCAATGTGTTGAACTGCAGTAGGCATATAGCACATGGCCGAAATGTAAACACAAACAGTAGAAGAGACAAGAGGTCTTGCAGTACTATTTTACTATTTGTTTGTGCTTCAAATATAACATTTTTGAGTTATGTTTATTATTTAAGTTCAGAATCAATAATTTATTTCATGTTCTGATATTTGCACACTTGTAAAGTCTATTTTTAAACAACTCATTTTCCAGCTCCTCCTTGTGGACATGAAGCATATCTTACAGAACTGAACCACACACAGGGAAAATGACTCTTACTGACTAACGTAGATTGCATGGAGAAATGCTGCATTACTGATTATTTTTCTGTTTGCAGCATGATTCTCACATTTTTTAACATTAAACAATTTTTTTTGCTGACTTATTGCAAAAGTTGATTGAGCACTTTTACCAGCAGGGCATTAGGTTGTCTAAATGTTGCATTCCTTTATTATTTCTCAGTTTCCATCAAGTTCATCCATCAGTGCCGCAAGTTTCTCTTAAGAAGAAGAGTTTAAATTAATAAAAGTTTTGTTATAAACATTTGTTAAAAAATTGTCAGCTGTTGCTTATAATTGTATAAGTGTTTTTTTATCATTTTAAGTTAGATGACTAATTGCAAAAGTGAATATTTGAGCACTTTTAACAGCATACAGCAGCAGAAAGGCAGTGAGTTGTCTAAATGTTGCAGTGTTCATGGTAATCAAGTGTGCATCTCTGTTCATTATGCAGATACTAATATTTTATTTCTGCTTACAAGCAGATTTCTGCAATATTTTAAACAGTTCAAAGCTTTGTTAAGACTGGTAAATTTTTATTTTAATGGCATTTAAAATAAAAATCCTCAAATTTTTCCATGTACTTTCAGAAAAGATCTCAGTCCACACTATGCGAGTGAAATGGAGTCCAGCTTGAAATGCAAGTGGTTGCTCTTGCTCTGATTATACTGCCTCTTGTGCATGCAGCTTCAGTAAAACAGCAGAATTTAATGTTAATTAGTTACACAACTTGAATGCTTATTTCAGATGCTAATCGACAGTAAGAATTTTGCCGGATTAACATTCAGTTAAACCATTTTAAAACTTGCCCAATTTAAGTGGTTTTAAAGTTAATATGATTTTCAATTACTGTTTTTAAAAAGGTTGATCCATTGGATAAAAAAAACATGCCAACTGCACATTTCAGTCAAGATGCACATAGAAAACATTGTCACTAACACATAGTAGGCACATTAATGGGTAGGCTGTAATTTTCTGTTTATGTATTATGGACAGTTTTCAAAAATCAGCAATCAAAGGACATTCCCAATGCCAATGAAAGAATGTGCCGATACTATTATTGCATTTTTTAAAAATTCTATAATTACTTTTTTTTTTTTTACTTTAAATTTAATTTCTTTATTTAATATTTTCCCTTAACATACAATTATGGGCTTCTAATTTTTTGACTGTTACTGCAAGTTATTTTGTTCCTCGATATTTCGCTTCAGAGCTGACTAATCGACTGTATATACACAAATATAATATTGTAAGCCATCCTAAAAAATATCAATTGAAAAGAGAGGATTGTGAGGGTGTGCTCATATTAACTGTTTCTGTGCTGTTTTGGTTCAGAAAATCTTTTTCAGAATTGATCAAATGTGATGTGATTTTAAATTAAATCACAATTACTGATGAACACAATCTGACTAAACTAACATTTCACACTCACAATATGCCATGGGTATTATTGCACAGGTTGAAGACATGAACTTCTGTCCTGAAATTCTCCTTTGTCTTAATGCACCTCTAAATTCCTGTGGTAAAACTGATAAATACTTGTAGATGAACTCAATGGCAAGCTCACAGTGTTAACATGCATAAAAAAACAAGTCATCAGTCTGTCTGGTGTATATGCTGTATATTCTGATAAGTATATGTTGTTTGCACGTATTGATGCATAATTCTAATGTAGATCTCCTCTGTCAGCTCATTTAGACTGTTGTCATGTTCCCCTATTGCTGAACTCACTGTCAGACCTTCAGAGAAACATGTGAATCAGTTGTTGTGACTGTAGTTTTACTGTATCTAATAATCTAGGCCTGATGTTTGTCATTTGCTTTTCATGAAAACCATCAAATATAAAACGATATTCACTGCTTAATGTCTGTCTTTGCTCTGCAGACTAAAGGATGTGTGTGGAGCATCACACACATCCAGCAGAGGCATGTGGACAGACATCGACTATGATGATGCTCATCTGCTGAAGGACAGGTCAGACTTCTTCTCACTGGGTCTTTTTCACAGATGCGGTACAGTGACTGTTGTGTATTGATACTCCTGCTGTAATGCAGCTAGGCGTCAACTTTCACTACTCCATTGATAAGTTTACCAGCATTTACAGCACATTCTCAGACATTTTCCGTCTTGTGGACCTTGCAAGTCTATAGATTTGTGCATAGTTTCTTTTGCATTAAGGGAGCCTAATCACGCTCCATAAACTCCTGGCCAAACAGTGTTTATTTCTTTATTACCTGTGTATGTTCTCTAGAGCAGGGGTCTTAAACTGCCGGCCCGCAGGCCATTTACGCCCCGCCCTCCTTCTCCCTCCGGCCCGCAACTGACATCAAAAAAATAACAAGATTCGGCTCACCAAAACATATATTTTTGAACCACTATCATTGTTGTGCAGTTTCATCTAGCCACTTGTGGTTTTGACCCACCTCCTAGTCGGCATTTACAGCACTGCATTCGGATTCGTTTTACTTATGGTCGAGAGTAACACACGTGTTTTATTCCTGGGGCTGATTTAAACGTTAAGATATATGTCTGTAAGTGCTCTAGTTTTACTAACGCTTTATTTTTGCAAATATTCAAGGGTCGTTTGATTATTATCAGTTTGATACCACTTGTATTTTGTTGTACAAACATTTCTTCATGGCTTACACTTTATGCTGGTGGTGTAACACATGATCATTGGGCTAATATTCGATTCAAATGGTCTCGTTTAATAGATTTTCCTCATTTGCTTATTAGGGTTTGCATAAAAGCTATGTACATTAGTAAAATTGTACTGCTGGTTGAATTGAACGTGTTAATATAAACGTGAATATGTACATACTTTTCCCGTTATAGTTTTACAAAAAAAGAAAGATATTAAGAAAGAACAGTTGCCAGTAAAGTCACTTATGTTACCCAAACTGCCTTCTGCTGTTCTTACGCTATTGCACAATACAATTGGTTGGGTCAGAATAATAATTATCATTTTGCCTATTATTTGTAGTAATTAGTAGTATTTGTAGTATTTAATAGCAATTTAAACTACCCCTTCAATAAGTACAACAAGAAACAAAAAGCTAGTTTTGACTGCATAGTCTCTGTGTAAGAATGACTAACACAGAGTGTAATGACTAGTGTTAATGTGTGTTAACACTCGGCCATACACACAACCACAGGTGTATTTTAGCAGCTGATTTGCGACACGATAAACGTGCTGATTTGCATTATCACTGGTGACAAGTAATGCTTGAAATATAAAGGTTGTGTCTTGTTTTAAGATGCATCAATTACATTCGGTTTCCACTTTTTTCTTGCACTTAAATGTTAAAACGGCCTTCATATGAATGGTCAGTCATTGAAATGGCCCCCCACCACTTTGAGTTTGAGACCCCTGCTGTAGAGTGTAGATTTGCAAACACTTCTCGGATTGATCTTTATTTTAATTTCACAACAAACTGATCCAGCAGGAAACTGCTGAATCAACAGAAACTGTTTATTTTCAGTAATCTACTATTACTTTGCAATACTTGTGTAGCTTGCCTTGTGGTTATGTTACCTGTGTGTTTGGTTTATGCCGTTTGCAGCATGCTTGTGGATGTTATATGGTGGTAGAATGAGCATCTGCTTCACGCTGAAGTGGAGAGTTTGTAAAAACAGCAACAAGATGATTACGCAGTGAATGACATTACAATATTAAGTATCAGCATTCAGTATGGCATGCTACCTCCTTTGACTACTCCTATTTCTTGTAAACTACTCTTGACCCTACTAAGTATAGAAATAATAATTAAGGCACCATGTTACTTTATGGATTGTTACTTATCTTTGAGATTAAATATGTCATTTTTGTGAAAGAACTAATAACCTTTCTTGAGTTTTGTGTGTGAAAACATTGCATGAAGGTCCACTGAGGTAAAAGTTTTCAAGAAGGTTGTGAAACTGCTTTACTCCAGAAGTATTGATGCACAACAATCCCTGTACCGGATGTGCTGAAAATGGCCTCTTGTGTTCTTTAACATGTCAGTTACCATCGTTTCTTTTTTTGAGGGAAGCAAATGTTTTCAGCACTTTTTTGTTTGCTTTTTTCCAGGCAAAAGCAAAACTGCTGGACACAGTTCTAGAGCTCAGATTGGATGCTACAACCCCAAACGCCTTCTCACTCACTGTTCAACTGTTGTGTTCCCTGTATTTATACAAAAAACTGCTGAAGTTCCAGGCCCAAAATGCTGAGTTTGGTCTTGAGTTGCTCAGAGCCAGACAAAACCTCATCTTCATCTACGCAGCGGAGCCACCATCCACGGCTTTCATGTTGAGTGCTGCTGTTGGAGACACTTTTTAATGTAATTTGTGTTTATACAGCGCATTTGTCATGTATGGCCATACACCCAAAGCGCTTTACAGTCATGAGGGGGGTCTCTCCACACCACCACCAGTGTGCAGCATCCACTTGGATGATGCGACGGCAGCCAGAGGACAACGGCGCCAGTGCGCTCACCTCACACCAGCTATAAGGGGGGTGGAGAGACAGTGATAGAGCCAATTCGGTGGATGGGGATGATTGGGAGGCCATGATGGGTAAGCGCCAATGGAGGGAATTTGGCCAGGACACTTTGATGGATGTAAAGCAGCTTAAGGGTTTAACATAAGCAATAAAGGGATTTGAACTCAGTACTCAATGAGTATCATGATTAATGATATTATAGTTTATTATTATTATTATATGTTAGTTTTTTTTATTTTAACAATAATATTTGATTAGTTTTAAGATTAGTAGTAATATTTGTTAGTTTCATATATAGATTAGCAGTTGTTTTGTTTTAGTTTTACAGAGTTAACAGAACATGTCCACTGTCAACCAGAGCATAGTTTAGTGACACAAAAGGTTTAGTTTATATATTTAGTGTATATATATATATATATATATATATATATATATATATATATATATATATATATATATATATATAAACATGAGGAATTCTGACAAACCTCTGTAGTGGCTATTTTCTGTAAAGAGGCTTTCTCTGTGGTAGAGAAGACAAAGTCTTACCCAAATTGCCAGTCATACAGCAATGCAGGTTTCTGCAGAGTGTGAGACACTGAAACAGAGTGTGTTCTCTTTTTATCCAGTTTGTAATGCACTCAAGGCCATCAGTAACATACAGGATGAATCACAGTTACATCAGCGCTCAAACTTTATTTTTGACCATCTATATTTCAGTCTTACCTCCCACCCGAACATATAGCTTGTCAAATCACCATGTACATATCCAGATTTATCTGATGATAAACATGTTAAACTGGTCACACTTGGTATAACTTAAACAGTACATTCATGGAAGAATAAAAAAACAGACATTTATAAAGTATATTAATGAGTATATAAAATGACGGTAAGATGCATAAAATAAATTTTCCACCACTATTTTTTATATAAAAGACACATTTATATGTTTATATGCAGCTTAACATGCCTAGTTTATATTTTATTTGGCAAATGAAGAAAATACAGAGCAGATGTTTGTTTTTTGTAAATCAACATGTGCTTGAAATGTGCATCCCTGACGTTGTCCAACAGCTGCAGGTGGGTTTTTCTGTCATAGAATGAGTGTTTATTAAATCTGAAAATAATCATTTATGTTTGCTAATTCTCTTGTTTCAGCTAGCTTTACTGTCTCTTGTTAATTTGTTTTAATTTTATTTTATTGTGAATTTTTATTATGATTTTATTGACCAATTGTTTTAGTTTCCTATAATAAAAGTGTTTAAAGTTTAATAAATAGGTTTAAAGTTGCTGTTTTTTTTTTTTTTTTTTAATGATATTGTTAACAGTTAACAGCACTTGTTTTAATAAATGGTATGAAATACTCTTTATTGCTTTTCTTCTCTCAGCACAGTAGTTCAGAAACACAATCTAAAGCAGATGTCACTGAAATTAATCCCCATTAAAACACTTGCTCAATGAGCTCTGGGGTTGAAGACTGGAGACTCAGTGGCTCAGCTAATAAAGTGTGGTGTGTAAGTCAAGAAGACGTAAGTTCAAATCTCATTATTGCTTGTGTTGAAACCATGAGCTGCAGTAAATTCATTAAAGTGTCTGAAACAGTTAGTGTGTAAACAGCAGTGGCTCCACTGACTAAAACACACCTTAACTGAACTAAGATTGCAATGAAGTCACAGGTTCGAGCCCAGCAGTGTGACTTTAGTGGTTGTATTGTTTATTCACAAGGCACATGACAGGTGAAGAGTCAAATATAACTTCTTTCAGATGTTCAGGAGCAAGATCTGTGGTATAGAGGTAGATACACTGCTATGTTGGATTGGAGGTCACTTGTTCAAATCCAGCCAGATTGATGTGTTGGTACTATTGTTATAGCATTTACTCAGATAGGGGCAGTCTATCTCATAAGACAGAGCTGATAATCTCAAAAGCTCAACTTTAGAGGATGAGTATGCAGATAATAGTGTAAAATTATGTTTTCAGTAACTGACCAAAGTGAAACTACGTTTTTTGGAAGCGGAAGTGCAGTTCTTCATCCGCTCCACTAGGCGGCGCGAGCGGCTTCACGTCCTGTCTGACTCACAGCTTCAGGTGTTTGTTTGACAACAAGGAGCGCGTGATGACAGACACCAAAACAAAACACGCGCAGTTTGATTTAAATACAAATTTACAGATGACAGCTTAGCGACAGACTCTTAATGTGTTTAAACAGCACATATTCCAGCTCAACAGCAAATTAAAGCAGCGGAATCTGCGATAAAGTGCAGGAATGGAGTGAAGAGACTCACCTGTAAGTGTCATTTCTCTTTAAGTCATTGTTTTGCTTGTACAATCACTGACATGAGCTGTGGAACAGTCTTTACATTTAATTTTTTTAAAGTCATTGATATGTAGTTTAAATGGTGTCATTATAACAGGACTCGTCTGTCAGGTCATATGTTGTGATGGATCAAATGTGTTGAACACTGACAATCAAAGCTGATTTTGATGCTGTCTTTAATGTAAATGTTTTAAAAAGTGCCATCAGGCAAAAACGCATGCATGATGCTTGTCTCAGCCTCCTTGAAATATCTGATTGTTTACATGTTTCTTGCTAATGTCATGGTAAGACTGTTTATAGTTTTTTAAAATGAGTATAAATAAGATATTTCTAGAGTAAAGAGGCATAAATCTGGACTTATGCTTGTAAAAAAAGTCAATTAAAGTGCTTTTGTAGAGCTGCAGTTTTTAATACTGTACCTGTCAACTAGACAATATCTATATATCTGTACATGTGATCTTCTGTTTATGAGCTGTTATGTTGATGATGAAGTGATGAACTCTGGTGTTTTAGATGTGTTTTCTGCTGTTAAGTGTTCAATTGTGTGTTTCCTCTCCAGAATGAAGGTTGTGTTTGGACTGTTCAGCCAACAGAATCAGAGCTCTGGGACATTTGACAGCCATGGACTGTAAGGATGGACGTCTGCTGCTGGACAGGTGAGACCCGCACCTTGTGTTTGAGGTTTGGTGTGTCGGTTACCATCATTTTCTTTCTGGAGGGTCGTCCCTCTGGAAAGGAAATGATGGTAACCGAAACGGGAGGAGAAGGGACGAGGGTCCAGATTTTTATACAGCTAAATTTATTTTGTGGTAAAAAGCAGCATAACCCCTGCTGTACATGGCCCCGTAGGTCAGAGTGGGACCCGACCCATCCCACCCCTTCTTTCACACCACATTCACACATATCGCAGTGATCTGGCTGGGATTGAACCAGCGACCTCTTAACCCACAAGGCATTGCTCTACCACTGAGCCACAGATCACATAAAGAAAGATGTGCTGGAACTCATATTTGACTAATATTTCACTGCCTGATGTGCAATAAAGGAGCAGAGCTGGGCTTTGAACCCAAGTCTTTACAACAGTCTTCAGCATGGAGAACATGTGTTCAGCCAGTAGCACCACTGTGGCTTTCACTCTTGGTTGAGGAGTTTAGCAAAGTTTGTCAGATATAATGCCACTTATTTCATCAATGCAATAACGAGATTTGAACCCAGGACTTCTTAATGGTAACACAAAGCTGTAACCACTGAGCCACAGATCTCTTGTAGGAACACATGCTGGAATTTATATTTCACTCTGATTTTATATTATTCTGTTAAAACATCAAAAAGCTGAAGCAGGATTTGAACTCACAACTCCAGCATCAGAGAACATGTGTTTAACCACTTGCACCACTGTGACTTCCATGTGAGAGCCGGTGTTTGTTTGAATTAGACTGTCAGCATAGCTTGACGCTTGTTAGTTGAAGGTCCTTCATTAACAGCCCCAGGTGTTTTGAATAAGGTTGGAGGTGAACTGGAGAGTGGATCTTCAGGATCAGGATTTTTCCTTTTAGTGCTTAATTTTTCGTGTATTAATGCAGATCCACATATTGTCCACAAGACGGAGCTCAAACACTGATTTGTTCTCATGCATCAACGCATTTAATGGCAGCTTCATTTAAAACAGAGATGAAAGTCATCAGATCAGTGTTTCAGCTCCATCTTGTGGCCAATATGTGGATCTGCATTCATACACGAAATCTGAATTAAATCGAGCCTTTTTTTCTCTCAAGCAGTTGTCTGATCCTGATCCTGTAGATCCACTCTCCAGTTCACCTCCAACCTGATTCAAAACACCTGAGGCTGATAATGAAGGACCTTCAGCTAACAAGAAGCTTCAAGCTTATTAGTTGTGCATCTGACATCTTAAGGTCATCTCAAAATTACTCGGACAGCAGAAATAACTTTGTTACACATACTTACACAGATAATAGACTGAAATGATTAGATTATCAGGAGCTGAATAAAAAAGTGTGTGAAAATCTCCTGCCCTTATTACAGGCTCTGTGTCTCAGTGGATATTCAGCTGCACTCTCTGTGCTCAAGTCTGGAAATTAAACCTTACTTTTAAATATGACTCATGGGTTTAAATGTCACTTTTAAATGTGAAGATAGATGTCCTAAAATGTAACAAAGTCTCCAAAACACCAGCATTTAGCACGAAAGTCACAGTGGTGCATCTGGTTAGACGTGTTCACTGTTGTGGGTTCAAATCCCTCTTTAAATGATGCTAAATATGTTATTAGATCTGACAACAAGTCAAACACATGTGCTTTCAGTGTTGTAGGCACAGTGGTGCATGTGGTTATAGACATGGTTTCAGGGTGATGGAGTTAGAGATTCAAATCCTGTTTCAGCCTCTTTTAACAGGATTGTTGTAAAATCAGAGTGAAATATAAGTTCCACCATAAACACAGCCCACATATTTGTGGCTCAGTGGTTAAAGTGCTGCATTAATATTAAGAAGTCCTGTGTTCAAGTCTCAAATATATTAAATGAACAGCATTTCATCAGACAAACTTTGCTAAACTCCTCAAACATCTGTGAAAGCCACAGTGGTGCTCCTGTCAGAACACATGTTCTCCATGGTATAGGCTGTAGTAGAGACTTGGATTCAAAGCCCAGCTCTGCTCATTTATTGCACACCCGGAAGTAAAATAATAGTTAAATATAAATTCAAGCATGTCATCCTTCGTGAGATCTGTGGCTCAGTGGTAGAGCAATGCCTCATGGGTTAAGAGGTTGCTGGTATAATCCCAACCAGATTGCTGTGATATGTGTGAATCTTCTCTTGATGATTGAATCAAGGGTCCAAATCCTCCTTCTGCCTGTTTTAACAGAATGATTGTAAAAGCAGAGTGAAATATAATTCCCAGCATGTGTACAGACAACAGATCTGTGGCTCAGTGGTTAGAGAGTTGTGTTGCAAGTAAGAAGTCCTGGGTTCAAATATCATTATTGCACACATGAAATAAACGCCATTATATCTGACAAACTTTGCTTAACTCCTCAA